GGGGTTTATACAACTCTTATCACAATCCATCCATCCATTGTGTCAAGCACATTTGTACATGTGTTGCCATCATCATTCTCAAAACATTTGCTTTCTACTCGAGCCCTTGGTATCGGCTCCTCATTTAACCCCTCCCTCGTAAACCCTTGATCATTTATAAATTATTATTTTTTCATGTCTTACACTGTCCAATGTCTCCCTTCACCCACTTCTCGGTTGTCCATTCCCCAAGGAGGGAGTTATAGGTAGATCATTGTGACCAGTTCCCCCTTCCTCCCCCTACCTTTCCCTTACCCTCCTGGTATGGCTACCCTGAGAACTCTTTCTAACCAACTTCCATCGTTGGTTAAATGTATATTAACTATGTATGTATAAACATGGGTTTGTTATATATATGTTGCATATGTTCCATTGTGGAAGAAATAAACAGCACAATATTCGTGTCTGATTTAATGCTTACTTTTATCATGTCGACCAGCCCTGTGATCTTCTTGTCCATAGCTCATGGCAACCCCATGCCTTACAGAGCAGAACCGTGCCGCTGGGTTTTCTTGGCTGCAATTTTGGCAGATGCAGTCCAGCAGGTCATTTCTTCCACAGAGCCACTTGGTGGGTTTGAAGTACTATGCCCATTCAGGAGTATTGTCATTTGGTCACAAAATTGTAAATGCCTCTGAATACAGATGCTTGTGCTTTGTAAACACAGACAAACAAAAGCTTCCTCTCAACAGTCCTCAGATGTCAATAGTCTTTTGCAGTGACCCTCACTAGGTGTGTTAGGCTGGATGGTCTAGAGAAACAAAACCAGTGACCCTCATAGATGTAAAGGAAAAAGCTTTAATCAAGAACAAATCTTATATCAAGAACACAACCCAGCCCAGTCCTATGGGAAACAGAAGGATTTCTCCCAAGTTGTCTCCCCCAAATATATGCCAAACTTAGCTGCTTGCGAATGACTATACACTTGGAGGTCATCAGGTGTAGATTAGGGGTCATTCTTCCTAAGAGCTATCAGCCATCTAGACCAAGCAGACACCACTGTTTATCCCACAACAAGTAGGGCCCACTCCTTTCTGATAAGGATAGTAGTTTTCTGTTTCCTTATAGGAGACACCAGAGAGGTTAAACCCGCCCAAGGATGACCAAGGTTAGGCTGCCATCATGAATCTAGGGTCCGCCCATCTTGTCACATGTATACCCCTAGACCTTCCCATTCCTATGGGCACACCCCTAGCTCATCCTCTTCCTGTTACGCTTATGCCTATCATAGATCCCCTTCCTACAATGTGTATGCCTATTGTACTGCCCCTTCCTGTGATGTGTGGTTACCTGTAATCATGTCCTCCTAATGAGATATAATCCGAGATGAGCAATCAAGTGGACGCTCTCCCCAGTCCTCGGTCCCGTGGGCTCTCCTGCTCTCACCCTGAAGGCTCTCTCCTGCTCTCGTGGCTGGGCTCCCCCCATGAGGACCACCAGGTGGGGCTGAGGTGAGCATGCTACCAAGAATTGTGTCTGACTCCTTTATTCCAATCTCTCCTCTACTCATGATTTCTATGACTTTACTATAATCTTTATCTATTATCACTGTACAGTTGTGCCTACCAGACCTGTGATGATTTGTGGGGGACTCTCTTCACCCCACACAGTCCCATTTAAATTTAGGGGTCTGATGATAGCAGAAGCCCAAGTCAGACACATGCAGCTGCAGGCTGATGATGTGGAAAATGGGAAGTGTGATACAGGAAGATCACAGGCCGGTGAATGCAGAGCCCTGTGGCTCCGAGGTCAGTGGGAACTTGGCAGGGCGCTGACAGCTCTGGGGTCGGGAGACCCACCCAGGGCCACCCCCATAGGCAGGCACAGAGTCTCAGCAAGCAGGAAGACAAAGGGGCAGAGAGAGGTAGGAGTGGTCCCAAGTGTGCTCATAAAAAGGCCACACCTCCCAAGAGGTGTCACCAAGCTGTGACCCGATTGACAGCTTGGACTCCACCCCTACACATGTGCAAGTGGACATGAGATTTAACTGTCACCCAGCTAAATGGAGCATGCGGTGCTCTTTGAAACTGCTCTGTCAAATAAGATCTTACTTTGTCATTACAAAAGTCTTTAAGCCTGATTAACTGTTACATTCTCTATTT